ATAACTTACATACAATTTCGTCAAGACAAAAAGTATGTTACATCAACAGAAGCTTTTCAGAAGCTGATTAAAGGAATAAAAGGTGGAAAAAATATTCCCGTGATTTCAAGAAAAATAAATTATCACGCTGTTATAAATATATCAATTTCTTCACATTCTCGAATATTGGCGTCGTATAATTTCATATTTTAGAAGTTCAATGAGAAAAGAAATCTTAACGAGATGCTATAATTTCTTTTCCTTTGTATAGCGATAAAAAATAGATTCGTTTCTTATTAAGAACAATATAATAAAAGAATTCTCCTCCTGTCTCTCTATCCTGTTGAAACGCTAATTAGCGTTTCTACGAACGCTTGCTTAGGTGTTTCCAGACACCCGCCGTGTGAAAAGCGTAACAGTAAACAAAATACTGTTTGGAACAACATGCGTAATTTTCGTAATTCGAAAACTGGCGAAAATTACATAATTGCCTTATCTGCTCTCTATTTGCGCAAATACTTCATGCTCGACGGAAGAAAACGTGCCAGGGTGCGCGTCATGTGACGTACATCAAACCGAGATTTCCTAAAACAAGAGATTCGAACACACGAATCGAGCCTCCTACGCAACAATTGTTTTTCTTCGAATTCATCAAAATTATCTATCGATCTTTACAGAAATAACATACAACTAAATCATTACGCGTTAACGTTAACGTTGCTTTCCTAGTGAAATTTTCAAACGGTGCTTCAAATATTATCAAGGACGCGTGATTTCCCTTTTACATTTTTCAGTGTCTCGCGCGTAGATAAAGGAAAATGTCGAATTTTAATTCGACTTATTGCTGGATAAACCTGTCGTCACGTTAGAAGGATAATCTGTGCTTTAGGATGGCGAAGCTTCGGTAATGGTAAGATATATTATCAACACATGTAGAACGAAATATTACTTCGAAATCGTTGCAAAAATACTTCGATAAAAGAAAAATTATTCGTACGTGCGACTATTCAAATTCATCGTACGTATTATATTTCACCGATGCACCATTATTGATAGTAAATTAATTCAAATTTATTCCTCACGATTATTCCTCCCTAGATACACGTAATCCTATGAGAATTCTAATCTATATAACAGTGTAACAGAACAGCAAAAGTAGAAGTAACATTTCACATTTATATCGAACTAATATTTATCGAAAAAGAAGACAGACACCTTTAAACTTCGTATTCGAATATCGGCTGTCCACGAATTTTTAGCGCGTTTGAAAAAGTAATTCGACGCAGCTACGTATATTCGCGTACGGTTCCTTTGTACCGATCTAACACAATGTAAATATTGAAATTGCCTTATCGCTGCAGGCGCTTCGATTGTAAAAATTTCTAGCTTAAACGGTGGCTCGGTTAACAAAGTGAAACGATTCCCATGGATAGAAGAAAAATGGTAGTTTCGATTCGACGAGAAATCATCGAACGATTAGCTTTTCAGAGACGTTGCCCTCGAAATGCGAATTGAATAAATCGCCGTCACGCTCTAGGAAACCTTTTCGTACAAAGTACTCGAGGTACAGAAAGGTTTCGTCTCGGTTTCCCTCGTACAATCCCCTTAACGCCGAGTGGATCGAACTCTGGTGCATGCTCGAGGTGCTCGAGATCGCATCTCTTCACGAATGCTCTCACGTGATACCACTATAATGTCATACGTCGTAACGATCGCGGCATAGTAATAGTCCAAGAACAAACCTGTCACGCTACACGTCTCTACCGGGACACATACATATATGCACTCCTTCCACCCACGTACATATACAAAAACGTGTAGTATACACAGAGACGCGTTACGCGACCAATCGATCGAATTAATATTCACGATTGTTGAAGCATGGAATCGACGTCGATCGGAATCCCTCTTGGTATGCCTGATTAGCTTACTTGCTCTTTATCCACGTTCCAAGTCGAAGGAGATATTATCGACTCAAGGATATCGTTGACTACAAGTTGTTGCATCCATGTGGTTTCGACAAAGATTATTCACTAGGATTATTATCGAGTCGAGTCGTTCAGAAACCACATTAAATCGAAAAGCAACGAAAAGCGATGATATTTTAAGTACTATTTTTGAAAATCTTTGCAGTCAGTATCGTTATTCTTGTCATCTTCTCGTAACAAATGAATGTAGGTAAATACTCATGGTAGTAGACAATTTTCTTCCCGAGAATCGAACATTAATCAGCTGCTTACGTAACGAAATTGAGAAATTATTAAAAAAGTGGAATTGACCTGTTTGACCCGTGAGAGGCTCGCTTATTTGCGCATGAATGAAGAGGATGAGGATTATCGTTGGTAGAGTGGATGTTTGTGTAAATGTTCATTTTCATAGGAGATCCACAACGAAGGACGATTTGAATAGAAATGTAGAATTTTGGAATTGTTAGAAATCGGTCATTTTATACGTTACAGTCTAATATTACACTTTTGCAACGAAACAACGAAATACTTCCTCTTTCTTGGTAATTATTTCCTCAAGCCTGGGTGAGCAAGCTGTGTTGTAATCTCCTCGAGCGGATTTTCACTGTACAAGCGTATCAAGTGCGTTTGTAAAAATACACAAGACCCAAAAGTCGAAGAACGCGGCCATGTCTTTTTTATTATCTTGATATTGTGAAATCTTTTAATAAAGGAATTCTACTAACAATGAATTGAATATTTTATGAAAGTACTTATTACTTTGTTAAATGCGAGATCACAGCCATTCCATTATCATTCTTCGGCTCCTCTAAATCGTTCTTACGTGTAATATCCTAATTGAGATAGTAGATTTTTTATAGCTGGAGATAAAGTTTTATGACAGATAAATTGAGTTTCTTTGTGGTAGCTGTGATATGGATTACGATGTTTCCTTTCTTCTTTAATAATGGTATGTAGATGGAATAATTATTCGCGGTGGCTTCTTTGAAAATATTGAAACAATACATAAATTATCGAGATGCGATTTTCGTTAAAAGCTTTAATACGATAAAAATTTATATTTTATTTTATATCACCGAAACGCATAATTTTTGTTAACAGGAAAAAAGAAATACGTTCGACAAGTTTAACATTTTGTTGGAAATTTTCTACTATTTACAATTTTTATTATACCATCTTTTTACATAAAAATTTATCTTTTAAGTACAATAGAATATCAGATCTATGCTTAATATTTTATGCAATCAAAATCATTGAACGTGAAGATATTAAAATCTAGAATTATTTAAGAAAAATGACAGCGCCCATATGACTCAACCTTCTGAACTTTTCAACGTCAATATATATTATTCGTGACCATTATACTACTAATAGGAATGTAACTGACGTACACATACACAAATGAGGAGAAAATTCTGTACAATTTCGTAACCTAGATTGCTCAATCTTGAACTTTGACGTCAAGCCTACCTTTGTCACGAGTAATCGTCCACGACTGAAAAAGAGCACGCCAACATACGAGACTAACGTCATGCGAAAAATTAAAATTTAGAATCACGTAAGAAGCATTTTGTTTATTTCGAATTCTCGTTCTAACTTCTTTGTCAAACGCGTATGGAATTTATTTGCAGTTCAAACATTGAAAACTACATATTACGTATTTCCTATCATATTATACGCAGTAGTCTATGCACAATATTATTCACGAACAAATTGTTTTACTCGTTAACAATTAAAGTACACAGCAAGAAGCGAAGAAATGTGATAATTGAAGTGTAGAAATGTGATACAGAATTTTCAATAGAAATAATTATTATATTATCTATATAAAAAATACTTTACTCCAAATTTAATTCGATTTACTTGAAAATTTAGTTTTATAATTGTTGGAAATTTTCAAATTTAATTTTATAACGTTATTAAGAATCAATTGCATAAAAAGTATATTATTTTATCCTGAAAATTTGAAATATTTTTGTCTATCTAAAATTTTGTTCTAATTTTTCTTATATTTTTCGATACAATCTATATTACTTGTTAATGAATTTATAAGTTTGTAATAATAAACACGTATCAAAAGTTAAAGTTAGCGCGTTTCCGATTAGATAGGCAGCGAACTGGAAAACGTGCTTAATGTTCGTAATGAAATTTTCCAACATTTCTGTTCCGCGAAGCACACTTTGCAAATTTGCATACACACGACAATAAGATTTCACCATAATCTCGTTTACGTACTATGGTAACTAACACTAGTTAATAACTCTATACTTGCATCTTCAAACGATAACACGTTCCTTACATTAATCTTCGTGATTTGTCAACAACAAGGATCATTTTCGCGAAACAAGATTATCATGCTTGAAATGTATAAAATTTTGAATGTTATTATCGAAACATTCTTTTGAAAACATTATCTTGAAAACAGATGTTATTATTCACATTTTCTTACTCGTTGGCAGAATAAAAAATCAACTAGAAAAAAGAATTGTGTTGAAGCAACGTGCGGAGTAAGTTAATGTAGGATTATGATTAAAGAAGAAATCAATATGGAAATGGAATATTTATTCCAAAAAGTTCTACGAAACAATTTTTACACATGATCGGTACTCGAACAATGAGACACTTGTTTAAAAATATTTTACAAAAAAGGATTCACGCAAGGCTGGTAATTAACAAAGATGCAAAGTAGAAAAATAATCTGGCTACAATAATAACCTTTAAGGGGGCTGAAATAACAAAAAATTGTAATAATTTCTTTTAATATATTCGACAAGGTTCTTAAATGTCAAGATATATAAAAAGTCGTAGGTTGCGAGTTACATAAAACGCCTACACGCCATATCCGAACGCGGACCTTTGGCTGTAATTATTATACGCGAGTAATTTGTACCTTTGTGCGTGCTTATTACGCGTTCGCTATTAAATACACAGAATAGCAAAGAATAATAGAACCGACAGGAAATATAATTAGTACACATCAAGGTGTATTACGTATATAACGAATACAATTGAAGATCGCACAGCAATAATATCAGTCCATTTTTATTTATTTACCAACTGTTATGTCGTCTCGTAGATGAGAAACAACATGAGCCTTGAAACAAGAACTGTTTGGTCTTTCACACCGTTCGTTACTCGTTTTCCTCTTTCATCGTATTGTGCGTCAATGGGATGAATCGTGCTTCAGAATTTTTGCTAATTACGCAAACGAAATGACGCAAGTTCGTACCACTGAGAACTTGCTACAACTTGCAATTGGTCCACGATAACGAGGAATGACTTAAAATTCAAAAAACCGATTTGCAATGCGCGTGTCAAGCCATTGATCGATTGAGAAACAAACTGTTTACGTTGCGTCTAAACAAGTTGCGACAACGCAGCACTCCAGGTAGTGTTTATTGCGTCAGTCTTAAATTTCCACAACGATACATTGTTGATACAATGACTCGTATCCGAAGATAAATATTTTGCAATATCTACGTATTTGCCTTTTTCTTTTCTTTTTTTTTTTTTTTTAATGAATTGTAGATAGACGTAGGATTATGTCTTTTTAGGAAAATATATAATAGAAGAATTTGCGAAAAATTAGTTGAATTAGTATTGTGCCACATTTTATATATTTCATTTTGGCTAAAGTTTTATTACGGGTGCAAGGATTTTTAGGACCTTCGAGAATTTAATCTTCGCGTTGAACAGATGTACGCATACGTATTACTCAGCAATTATTCGTAAGAAAGCAACGAAATTAAATCGATGCCAAAAATCTGTCCTGTAGTAATCTTTTATAAGACGTGAAAATATTCGTGGCCACGAATTATTGCTACTTGTTTTGTTGCGATGTTGCAAACGAATGAAATATTATTTTATAAAATTATGCGCACCTTTTCTTATTTATCGTCACCAACCGCTTACCAAACGTTTCTCAAAATACACGTATACCGACGTATACCGCAATTTCTAAACGTTTTGCCGTTTTTTCGGCACGGAAAAACTCGTATTTCATTGATCATGAATATGCATTCGAATCCCAGCGATTTCATTTTCCTTTCAATTGTTCTTTTTTTCTATGTCGCATACGTTTTATTAAATATTGGAAATTTATTTATTTAATTCGATATTTATATCATAGTACACTTTGATAGTTAACATTTCTTCCTATCAATTAATCAAATTAGCCAAATCAACATATAGATCCTTGCTGAAAAATAAGATCAAGAGAAGAACCACTTTTCCATTGACGTGGCTGTATATGTGAGAGCATTATTATCTCATCGAGGAATTTCCACATTTTCTGATAACATGATGGATAGTAACCAACATTTCTCGACTATCTTTTTTAACATCGTTTGATATACGTATACATATATCTGTCGTGGATGAATGAGAACGCAGATCATTTCCATTTCGCCATCCATTCTCGTTCAAACGATGGACCATTAAAAGCCATCATCGCCAGTTTTTATTTTGCTTTATTTATTCCGTTTTTTCCTTTTTTTTTTTAATCATTTTGTAGTCAATATACCGAATTTTAATAACGAATGGATATTTTATGACTTTCTAACGTCGTTATAAACATATCAACAGAAATACAATATACAGAATGAAGCAATACTGAAAATAAAAAATAAACAGGTTTGTAACGTTAATTATAATTCTAATCTTTTCATCGTTTTGACGTGACAAATCTTGTGAAACATGTGGATTATATGACGAGTTTAAATAACACTGTAACTAACAGTAAATATTTTTCAATATTAAAATGATATTAAGAAGAATATAATACTGTGTTGGTAAACATTTTGTCCAGTATAATACACATTTAAATATATAAGCGTACGTGATAATCTTTAAGTCATTATTATCTCTATTTTGTTCTTTTTTTATTTAACATGAATATTTTTAAATTATGATAAAGCCAAATTGAAATACGCATTTCACCTTGTTGGCCACAGAGAGCTTTCTGGCCTTAATCATTTCTCTTTTACCAGGGTCACTCAGGAAGTCGTAAAATATAAATATTTTTTCATTCGTAATTTTCCAAGAATACAGCAGCAGTATTCTCGTTAAATTTATTGCCATATTTATGTCCTACGATACAAAATGAAATATTATTACTCTTGTTCACTTATCACCGTAGACAGGCTTCTTTTCCTTACGATACAATACACTATTGAAACTAAAAATGAATAAATTGTAATAAATATAACATAGAAAATATAAATATAAAATGAAAATCCAACCATCTAATCAAACAACGAAATCGAAATTCCACCGTGTAATAAACAAACAAGGAAATAATTCAATAAAGTTGAAAAATGGATGGATTTTTGTCATTTGAAATTGGAAATCTCCCCCTAATTGGAAACATTTCACGTATACTTATAGATATGTGATACAAGATTTGGCATTATTCAAATAAGTTTTTATCCAAGCAATAATTCAAATAAAATTTTTATTTGATTTGTTATTTGCTTTGCTACTTTATCCCAAGAATGATAGTGTCATTGGGAAATAATATGTGTTAATATTTGTTATCTCATTTAATATACAGATATTCGGTTTTTGGTTTTACCAGGAAAATATAAAAATATTTATGGATATAAAGAAATATAAAGAAATTAATAGAATAACTATAGTCTAATTAATATACTATATCAATAAAAGACTGATAATTATAGAATTACAAATTTATGTTCTTCATAGATACATGAATATTCCATTAGTTATATTAAACATCACTAATTCATTTAAATAAGTGGGTAGCAGTGGTCATGATTTTAAAATGCATATTAAGTATAATAATCTGTACTAAGTGTATACATATATAATGAAGTACGTACACGTATGTAGCGTAGAGGTACAAAGTGATTGCGCGTGTTTCGTGTACACGTGTCTTTTCATTCAGACAGCCGAAACTACGTCTTCTAATTAAAATTGTAATACTCAATCTTTTACGTGCCCGTGTTTTAAAACTAAAATATACCCTAAATATTAAATGGTCCTCTATTAGAATGTCGGAATATAGTAGAAAATGCATATCGTCACCACCAAGCCAGATTTTCATTCTAATTTCTTCCCAGGCCTTGGATTTTATCCGAAAGATCCGTCGAGGCGCGATTGTGACATAAGTTTGGATAAAGTGGCGACCGAAATAAATCGCGAGTTCGCGCGCGTTTCTGACAGGAGAACAGATAGAGAGAAGGATAAACTGTTACACGGTACACGTAGTAGGCGTGAGAACTGAGCACGTGCGAATATTTTGAATATCGAATTTGAATGAGGATGCTCAAGAACTCACAGTATCCTGGTAATTTCGCAAGAAACTGCACAAACCATCCGAACTCTCTGAAGCATTCGCCTGATCGGACTACGACCGTTTGTACGATTAAAAAATGTTCATCTTTTTTACTTTGGTATATTGCGAGAAAAATAAAGAGTAGTATGAACAATTTATTCTAATGGAGGAAATTTATTCGATATGTTTTTTTTCTTCTTTATCATAATACTTTGTACAGTGTTGCTACATTTTACATTATTTACTGCTATATTTTACAGTAAGGTATTATAGTTGAAGTGCTAAGGTTAAGAAGAATCTTTTGTAAACATTCTTAATCGGAACAGAATTTAACTTCGATTTTTATATGGAAGTTGGCGACTATATTTTAATGCAATTTTAATTGCAACGTTAATAATTTATCATACAACAAAAAATATATTACGTATATGGAATTAATCGTATCATTGTTGATTTCAACGAAAGAAAGGTCTTTTTTAACAAAACGCTGGATTCAATGAAACACAACTTTCTAGGGACAGCAAACGTGAAAGTAAAATTTATTAAACATCAATGATATATTTAATCGTGACGCCACTAAAACAACATTGATAAACTAAAAAATTGTTTTCTACATTATTCACACCGATAAAAAGGAGAAAAGTTGTACAAATAAATTTTGCAAAAATTTATAACCTTTTTCTGTTCGAACGTGAAACAAAACTCTTGGTTTCAAAGTTTAAATTTCATTCCACAAATATATCGAAGTTGTTGGTTGATCGTATCATAAAAAAGCAAAAGATTAAAGAATTGTTAGAAATAATAAAGATTAATTCTTAAGTCTTCTTCATCTTCTTAGTCTCGTTGCAACCGTTTGCATGCACAATGCTGTTCGTTTTCGAACTTTGTTCGACATACTGCAAGGATAAATAAATATAAATAATGCAATAGATCGGATATGCTGTTACTTTTCATTTTCAATTTTCATCTATATTCATTCAGTGGTAACATTTAGTTCATGTTATGTGCAACATAGACGTAACATGTAGTTGCATGTAGTTTCTCTTTATCAGTCGTCTTACTTTTCCTCCTGGTTTCACAAGTACAAATTTACAAAGCAATACGATCGTAAAGCGATATAAAAAATGCGATTTTAAAGAATAGACGACTCTACGTATAATAAATGCACGCTGTTTATTTTTTTGAAGAAACGCTATTTTTTCTTTTCATCTCATCGATTTTTGTCGTTTTCGCAGATGAACGTACGATAAAAAAAGCAGATATTCCAAAAAAAAGAGAGAAGAATTTGTAAAATAGGGGATTTCACTACGGTTTGAATCGTTACGGTTATTTCCAGCTCCTTCTGGCTTTAGAGACATTCATAAATTAAACTATACTACGCATTCAGCGCCGGAAAAAAGTTGCACAATGCGAGAAACAAAAGTTACAAGTTGAACGAACTATTATTTCAAGTGTGTCCTTCCATTAATTAATCATTATATGCTTCCGTAATAAAAGTTATTACTTCGAGCTTTCTGTTGCTTCTCAAAAATTAATTTTTTAATTATTGTAACTTGTACACGTTGATCAAACGTAATGCGTTATTGAATCTACGACTTCCATGTATCGATTATTCTCGTATAACGTTTAAACGACCAACCGTTCCTTGAAACGACTTTACGAATCAATTTCTTCGTGATAAAAAATCAATAATCGTATTAACTTTCGTCCCCAATTACATTACTATACAGTTATACCAGTCGTGATAATCGACTATTTATTTCTAGCTCTAAATATTTCAATATGCCGAAATCACAGAATAAAATGCTTCCTTTTATAGAATAAGTAACCAATAATTATTAATCCGTCCATTATATTATTTAGCATAGCCTGTATTATCGATTCAATTAAATTGCACTAAATCATATAAATACAAATACGCAATACTTCGGTATATCCAATTTCTAATAACATGCTCCGTTTTCTAAAACATTTCGATACATTTACGCGCGCAGAACTCGGTTATGCTCGTTCAATTTACAAACCAGAACCCTATATTCTCCCACAAGAGACAACAATCCTTAATCGTACAACCACTAACATATGAACGTATGAAAAGGAAAAAGTTTGTTTTATACGTGGCTTATATTTTTGTATACATGTAAATACTTTTCTTAGTTCGTAGCGTTACTATACT